CAGTCCAGGGAAGGAAATAATACTACGACGGAGAGATAATAGGATCCTCCTGAAGACTTTAGATAAATATATAAGACTTAAATTATCGTCTCATCTATATTAGCATCCGAATTAAGGTAAACGTGGGAATTTCCTCCGAATCCTGGGGGCATGGGTGCCCGAGTCCGACTTGAGGGTACAGGGGTTCTTGGAGAGTTCACGTAACGGGGACCTTGGGGCGGAGGTCTTATGGGATAGTTGGGGTTGTGTGTTTGTCCCCTTAAGTATAATGGCTGCGGTCCCCTGAGAGTGTGTGCTACTGGTCCTCTCTGACTTAGTGGTAGGGGTCTTCTTGGGGCTTGTGGTCGGGGTCCTCTTGGAGTTTGTGGTCGGGGTTCTCTTGGAGCTTGTGATGGGGGTCCACTAGTGTAACCGTATCCCTGGTGGAGAGGGCCCCTATGGTGTAGTGGTTCAGGTGGATGTCTCCCTCCATAGTGTGGCAAATTTTGAGGTGGAGGCCCTCTTGAGTCAAGAGGACGGAAGTGGTGGTTGAGGTTGGCGACCTGCAGCTGAGGTTGCGAAAAGGTTGCAGGCCTCGCAGGGTCATACTTGGGATTGAAAGCAGGATTACGTATTTGCTCCTTCTTCGAAGCCTGTTGAGAACCTCCTGACGGCGCGTACCATCTGATATCTGACCTTGGAGTGAGGTCATTAGAGGGTGAAATTGGGGGATAGGTCTTGCGTTCGTCTGTCGGGTTTTTGTAAGCCAAGTCCCGAGAAGGCCCGGCGCGGTTGCCGTTAGCGGAGGGCTCGGCTAATACTTTGGCTCCTAAAGGTTCTGCAGAATAGGGCGGTGGAGGTTCGCTCTGGGGATTGAAAGGCGGCTGGGGAGGACGCGTGCGCAGCGACTGGGGTCCGTTCACGAAGGGCGGCGGTCCAGTGATGTGGGTCACTTCGGGTCGATCTGTCAAAGATTTAAATACATCTGCTGTAAAAGATTGAACAGATGAACATCTGTAGTAGAATATGTCCATATGTCAGTAATAAGATGAAGCAATAATTAATTATCAAATTATATTATATGCAACATTAGTCACACTCATGTTCACATACACAACAAAATAACTCAAACCTGCTGAAGTGCCAGTATCTGTAGCAGGACCAGGACGCGGCCTTCTTCTCCTTTGGCTCAGCCTCATGGATACCCTGTGGACGGCCTGTCGAGATTCCCTGAAGGAGGAACGAATCCTGGTGGATGCTCGACGATGGAAAGGCATGCCAGGTGGAGGCTGTGGATTCAGTCCTGAAGAGGAAAAGTGGTTATTAGTCTCTCTCTCTCTATATATATATGTGTGTGTGTGTGTGTGTGTATTTATATATATAGATACATATATATATATATATATATATATATATATATATATATATATATATATATATATATATATATATATATATAAATATATATAAATATATATATATATATATAAATATATATATATATATATATATATATATATATATATATATATATATATATATAAATATATATATTATATATATATATATATATAAATATATATATTATATATATATATATATATATATATACACACACACACACATATACACACACACTTCCTATTCTCGCAATAGGTTATAATGCTTCAAAAGTTGAGTGAAATGGTATTATAACTGATAATCCGCTATTTCCATCTCACGATCACTGATTTTTATGTATTATTATAATCCCTGTATTTGCTCTTTTTAAAGATTTACAGGTCGTGGACGAGGAAGACTCAAAGCAAGGTGAGTTGTCCTCTGGCGATCACAGGCCTGCCCCGGTGTAAAGGCTATTAATTGACGCCTTAACTTTGGTTGAAGGAGTAGTAATAGGAGACGATTGCTTTGACTCTTTATTTTCTAAGAGTACAGAGATATGAACACTAACGAGACAAAGTCTGGGTAGACGTGGGATGAAGAAGGTCGCGGTCAGCCCAGCAGGGCAGAAGTGACCGCCTGAGCCGTAGGCCCGGGACCTGTCCTGACCAGCCCACGTGCGGGCACTGACTGGCTTTGTCATCATCTTCCTCCTGGTCCCTGGTATCCATCCGTCCTCGAAGGTCTCTCACAGGTCCTCCTTGACTTCGGACTCGTCCAGATTTCCTCGTAGTCCTCGTCCTGGCCTAACTCAGTGGCTTACTCGCCCAATGCACGTCTTCGCAGATCTCGTCCAGGTCCTTCTCGGCTGCACGCTCGTACAGACGTCCTCGTAATCCTCGTAGTCCGGCAGGAAGCGTTCTCTTCGGCATCTCAGGGCGGCTGATGCCTGTGCTGACGTGCTCCTGGAGTTTGACTGGATCTGCGGCGTCCAGGCAAGTGGCGCCCGTCCAAAGCATCATGGGCGACTGGTACCTACGCTGGCGAGTTCCTGGTCCTTCGCTGGATCTATGGACGTCCTGGCAGGCGGCGCCCTTCCACATCCTGGTGCGGCTTGATACCTGTTCTGACGAACATCCTGGTTTCCAGGCTTCTGGCCATCTTCCGGCGACGTTTTTCCATAGCATCCGAAGGTGACCGATTCTGCAGCAGGGCCTCCTTCGTTGCCGTGTCAGATATCGTGAACCAGATTATACATATAAGGGCCCAACATGCCAGCGATGTCTAAAGTGTGAGCAGGCTGTGATTAATAAGTGAATCATGAATCAAGCTTAAACCCTAGTCTTACGTTAGTTTCAAGGACGTACATTGTGGGTCACACCGGCTCAAAGTTGCCGAGCGTATGAATACTTATGATATGGGGAAGATCCCTGGCGCTACACTCAAAATTATGAATGTATATAAATCGCGTTACAGGATCTGATCTAACGCCGATAAAACGTGTCACCAATAAACATGTAACAGTTGCTATGTGTTATCCCTATTCCGTAACAATTATAGAAAACAATTAAAAGGGGATGGCAAGCAGTTTTCTCAGCCATTTCACCGTGTCAATCACTCAAAGTGAAATTGAGGTCAGATCTGCCAGCTGTTTAGGTGGGCCTTTAGCTAATGCTCTTCACTCGGAGGGTCAGGTCAAGACGGGAAATGGTCGGTGAGAAAAGAAATAATGAGTGATGTTCATGAAAACAATAAAATCACGAACACGCTAAATTCATTGCAATTGAAACAATATAACTCTCTAATCACAAAAAATTAAATAAATACTTAAATGAATGATATTCATATTGTTTGACTCCATACCGCAATCACACAGTAATGTGATGTGACTTTAACCCAAAAAACCTACATGAGCGTGACTGCACATACGGCTTAACACATTTATGGGAGAAGATAGAGAAAGAAAGGAAAAGGCCCAAAATGTGTACTCACGGCTTGAAGATGTCATAATGGTAATGAATGGGTCGAGCGGGAACCCAGAGACTGCGTGTCCAATGTTACGAGCCAAAGGGATGCAACTACACCGCTGCTACCAGCTGTAAAGGCTATTAATTGACGCCTTAACATTGGTTGCAGGAGTAGTAATAGGACACGATTACTTTGACTCTTTATTTTCTAAGAGTACACAGAGATAAACACCAACAAGACAAGGTCTGGTTAGAAGCTGGATGAGGAAGTTCACGGTCAGCCCAGTAAGGCAGAAGTGACCGCCTGAGCCGTAGGTACGGGACCTGTCCTGACCAGTCCACGTGCGGGGACTGACTCTGTCTGACCAGGGTCATCATGGCCTTTAAATATCTGAGACGTGGCGTGGGGGGCAAGGTTACCTCGAGGCATGGGTGGGCCTGTGGTTCTATACGTGCTGGAATACACAGTATACCTAGGATAACGCTGTGGAACTGCAAAAGTAGAGCCCAATAAGATGCAGTCTCGGAAGGAACCTGAGAAGTAGCTCCAGTGGCTCTAAAAGCAGATGTAGACGGTGCGGCGGTCGGGAGGCGACAATCATCCTACATATTATCATTTGGGTACTTTTCTAAAGCACATGATAACCCTTTTAACCTCCTCTGGCCAGACCTTCTTTTAATTCCAAAAGTTTACTATATGAGTCTGATTGTGGCTCTGACAGCGTGCACTCATGTTGTCCTTCGCTTTCTTGCACTCCCTAAACATCATTGCACAAGAGGAACTGTTCTAGTTCGGCAGATAAAACGATCGACGCTAGTCAGCTATCTCCTGCTCTCTCTATCTCTATCTCTCTCTCTCTCTCGCTTTCGACATATTTTAGTTTTATTGCAAATCTCTTTTTTTGTCTAACTAGTGTGTATTGGAAGTTCTTCATGGGTCCACAGTCGTTGTAAACTTCGCATAAGTTAACCTCATATTGTGCAGTGCAGCACACAGTGAATTCATGAGACGAAGAAAAATCCGCAGCAAAGTAATCACTTGCATGTCGAATTTTGGCTAAATGTAGTTTTCTATCCTCTACAATTGAGTAAAAATATAGGAAATTTGATCACCACATTCTGTTGCTTGATGGAATCCATAAACAAAACTTGTGCATTTATAAAGGGAATATGGACGGCATCCGCTTGAACAAAGGCCGTCAGGTCTTGCATTCTTACAAGGTTGCAAGAAGGCAGTTATTCAGGCAAAAAAAAAAAAACACTTGAAAAGTCAAGGTAAAAGGCTAGACATGAGGAGTGTGAGTGCACCTGCATCGCTACTGCCACTATTGATTTTCTTTCATATCTACAGCTCGCATTCCTCTATAATAAGGAAATATAATTGCATTTTGATAGATATATTGTAGCAAGGTGAAGTAATTGCTAAAACAAAAGGTCTATCATTTCATTTGGCTAATCTAAGATTTTTATGTTAAATATACTATGCTAAAGTAAATTGTATTCTCACGTGCCATATTAATGAGGATAAGATAAATCGGTGAATAAATATATAGGCATATCACTGATGAATGTAAAAACTAAATTGTATTTTACCGGTAACTGTATGGAGCCCTTGTCTGGGTGTGCTTGAATATCGGGGGACCCTGTACGATCAAGTGTCGCAACAGATGGCAT